CTCGAGTCTTCCCATATATATATCTGTGTGTGTGTTGTATTTTTTGTTAATTGTGGGGACATGTACATTTGTTATTTAATTAAATTTCAATTAATTTATTTTATAATTAGTGTAAAATGTAAATTATGTATTAGAATTTATGTTACACAGAATTTAAATATATTTTTTAAAAAATTAAAATTTATAATTTCTGCATGATATTTTATTTTCAAAAAATTAAAATTTATAATTTATGATATTTTATAAAAACACAAACCAAACAGTTAAACAACTTATCTATAAGAGGGACAAAATGATCATTTATTCAGAATCAACTATTTTCAAAACAACTAATCAGCTTATCCGGATCAGCTGCTCAGCAATAAATTATAAGCTGCTTGCTGGATAAGCTGCAGGCGCTAAAAACAAACCCTTAATTTATTTTATGCATATTTATTTTTTTGAGATGTGCATAAATTTCTCTGGCATATTTTTTTTCCGCTGCAGGTACAAGCACGATCAGTACTGTATGCAATAAAATTATTCTGGGGCGCCTGTTTTCTGACTTGGTACGCTTCTCGATTTTTCCCTTCTGAGTTCCGATATGGATAGCATCAAGGCAATTGCTTCCGTTGCAATACAAACCAAAAAACACCCATACTTCCCTTCTCCTTTCCAATTCAATATCCGAGGTAATAAATCCATTCTGCCTTTCTTCATTTCTCATCGTCAATTCTTTTCGATCTACTTTTATGTATTCGATGAAAACTTCACCTATTTTTAATTGAACTCATGATCGGATATAAGAGTTCTTGTTGTCTTCTGTCTAACTTTCTTTGATTTGTCTATTGCATATGGTAGTAGGTTTTCACTTTTCAGTTGCTCTGCTTTTTACGATATTTTTTCACTTGGTTGACTTCTAGTTTTGGTTTTGTTTTATGATTTATACTTGATATTCGGAAAGAATGAGACCTTTGATTTTTGGGGGTTTTTGGAGCTTTGAATATTTATTTTGTTTTTGTTTTGTTTTGTTTTGTTTTGTTTCATGTAAACATATAAATTGCTCAATGCCGTAGTTCGCAATGATTCTACATGGTGTTAGATGGCTGTTTGTAGCTGTCGATGCTTGTTGAATTGAGTTCTGCTGCGGTTGTTTGGTTTTTTTGTGGTAGCATATAGGTCTTGGGACACTAAGGGAAATACAGAGCAGAGGAAATTCAAGAATGCCCACAAGGCAACGATTGCAGACGGATGATTGCATACGTCTTCTCACTCTCTTACATTACATATACAATTCACTTCCCACTACTAGCCAAACAGAGAACCGAATCATGGCTTTACTCCTAACAAATAAGAAGAGGCTCGACTCATTTGTTATCATTCACGCAAACTGTAATCCACCATTAATGCCTTGCCACACGAAAATCCTTGAATCTAACTACTGATTGTCAAAGCCGTCTCTGGCATTTCTTTCATTGCCTCTTCCCTGGCTCGTTGAACCTACCTCAACATTTTCCATGTTGAATACTCCATGATGTGGTTCCTAACAATTACCTCTCCTCCTTCGAGAATTTCCTTTCCTTTAAGGTTTAGTTTTGTAATGCATTGATTGTTTCTTCTTTAGCAATAGATGTTTCATCTTCTTGCAGTAAACCTTCGCATTCTATGAGGTGTTGTGCTTTGATTTGTTTGCCATTGGAGAGATATTGAGAACTTAGAATAGTTGTGGGCCTAACTAATGGATTATTTTTTGAGGAAACTGGTGGCTTTTTTACAAAACATGCGGAAGCTAGGCCGGATGCAATTATCAATTTTAATTGTAGGGCTGGAGCAATGACATACGAAAAATATGATGTGTATGCATCTACTTTGGTAATTCAAGCATATAAGCCATAGCTTCGACCCCTGGTAGGACATTGTAAGAGTTTTAATACTTTCAGCCTACAAAATGTTTGTTGACGCACTTGCATTTGCCTAAAAATGCAAGTTAAGGCAGCTACTTGAAAGTCCAATTCCTATTGATGCTGATCTACTTGTAATTTCATGAGTTATCTTGTTCATTGGATACACTCTTACTGGCTTTACAGTGTACTACCTTTTAGTTTTTGTAAGTTGTCTGCAACCTCTACGGTTGATTCCTGCCTATCATTGGGATGAATTTTTGGCTATAATTTCCAGTATGGGTCTTGAAATGGGTTCGTGTTGATTGCTGCATGGTAAAAGCATTCTAGGAGAGCTCCAAACCCTAGTCCCCCAGCCCCCTATCCATAAAAATAATAATAATGATAAAATGAAAACCCAAAATAAAAGGGTTTCCATCATAAAGCAGGTTAAGTTTTTTTGTGACTTTTGTGCGCCTATTTATTTTTGAGTAATAAGATGTATCAAAGCTTTATTCCCAAGGCATTAAATAATTCTCTTCTAAAGGTGCTCATTAATTATCCTATTTAAATTTGAGCCAAATCATTTTTTGACAACACTTCATAATTTTTGCACATGTTCAAGATGAAGGCGATCAGGACCTTCACTTTTGTAAATTGGGTTTGTAAAATAGAGAATTGTGCATACTTAGTGAGTTGATTGATGATGATCTTCATATTAGTCTTGTCGTAGAACCTCTACAAAAAAAAAAAAAAAATCCACAATAAAAGGTGCCCATGATAAATATGTTTAAGATCTTTGGTCACTTTTGTTTGCCCCATCTTTTCTTGGATAATAAGCCACGATGTAGCAAAGATTTTTTCCCAACACATTAAATAATTCTCTTTAAAAGATGCTGATGAATTACCCTATTTCAATTTGGGTCAGTCATTTTTTGAGACTATTATTTTTACAGATGTTCAAGATGAAGGTTGTCTTGACCTTCACTTTTGTAAATTAGGTTGGCAAAATCGAGAATTGTGCGTACCTATTGAGTTGGTTGATGATGACCTTAATATCAGTGTTGTCTTTGAACCTCTTAACTCCCAGTGGACATGGATCTTCCCATGTCGTGGCTATTACTAAGAGTGGTAGAAGTAATCCAACTAGTGCAAGGGTTTGGTACTTGATTAAATGGAAAACTAGATAGCCTTGAATAAATATTTCTATATCAAGTTGCAATTAAAACAATAAAAGAATTTCACAATGTATTTTAGCTATTTTTTGACCTTGTTTTTTCTTATGTCACCGACATGCATCCTCCTAAACAATTTTCATGGAAATATCACCCTAAAACCTTACCCTCATATAGTTTTTTTTTCAAACAGAACCAATTCAGACAACACATTGCACATGCTCTTTTGGATTGGTCAATATATTTTTTATTAGTTGTATTACTCTTAGTGTCATTGAGTTTTTCAAATTTTTTCTATTTTTGTAAGTAGTAACATGATATTAATGGCCAATAACAATTCATCATTTCATTCTTTTACATTACATTCTTCATATTTTATTATATAGCATCTATGTTTTTAGTTGTAGTTCTTGAATCATACTTAATGTCACGACTTGGACTGGAATTTGAAATTAACCAAGACGGGAATAGACGGTCAAATGGTGGAAATTAAAATTTTCTATATTCATTTTCTATAATTAACATTTAATAAATGAAAGTGCTGCTAATGAAAATTAATTAAAGCAGTATGATTAAATTTACCTCATTAGATGTTGTTCATGTTATTATAAAGATTATCTCTTATATTGCTCATCTTTTAAACAATTAATTAAACTTAAAAAGTTATTTTAAAATAATAGTGAGCTAACCATAACTCGTGAATACTCATACTTCTAAACTATAGTAATGTAAATCTAAAGAAGACTATATGCATGACAGTTAAATTTTATTTAAATCAATCTAAGAAGCATGCGAAGGGTCTTACTATTTAATATTATTATTCAATGTAATTTTAAATACTTACTGTCTTACGATATCGTTTACATATTAATATCTTTTTAATCTGTATTCGTATGTCACAGGAGCATTGTTTAAAATTGTATCATTTAATGTAATTCCATATCAATATTATTTTCATTTATGTACACGACTATATTAGTGTTTTCTCACTAGTACCATAAATGAGTGACTACATCATACTCAAGTATCACATACGAGCATATTGTGAAAGTCACCATCAAATAAGGAATATTTCATTCTCATTTATATAGTCGTAAATATACTTTTATAACATTTAATCTTTATGTTGAGTATACATATCATTCCTAGAATATGGACATAAATTTATTATAATCATAAAACATGAGTTTGTGGTGATTTCGATATAAGTTGTGACAATAACAATAATTACATTTGGTTTAGAGGAAGTAAAAATTTTCATATAGCATAAGAACATGAGTACTCACTTCAATCACCGATGATTCTCTTATCAAACACTCTCTTCACTTATTTCTACAAAAAATCTATAGTCAAATGTATAAAGAACTTTTATTGATCTATTATATGTTATTCTTTTTCCTGGAAAGATAATTTGCCTTTATTTTACCATTGATTTATCTTATAATAATAATAATTTTATTATTATTATGCTAATTATTTTCTTCTTTTCTTATTATTTTTTTAAAACAATTTAAACATAGTAAAAATTTGACAGTAAAAAGTTGGTCCTCCAAATTTAACTTTTTGGTTACATTATATAATTTATATCTTTTCAATTAAGCTCTAAGATTTATACAAATATGTATACATTTATATTATTATGTAACAATTTATTATTATTATTTATTCTCATTAAATTCATAATTTGTAGCAGTAGTTCATAAATTTATTGAACAAATAAAACTTAAATAAATCAAAAACTAACCTTTCTTCACAGCTGACACCCTTTTCTAAGTCCAAAAGGAAAATTTTTATAGCCTGAATCCGAATTTAATTATACCTTACTATTAATAATTAATAATATATTAAATTCATAAATTATTATTTAAAAACGTTACCTTCCCTGGTTCTATCTCGCCTATCCCGCATGCAGACCCCTCATATTCTCTACTTGATAACGTTGTCATACGCGGATCCTTCTTCCCCCTCCTCTGCACGTAAGATTTGGCTCCTACCGTATACATAAGAGCTTCTCTTCCTCTGTAAGAATGATTTTGCTCATATCGTAGGCATGAGAGCTTCTCTTCCATTGCACGTAAGATCCGACTCTATTCCGCTGCATGCAATATCCGACTCCTACTGTAGGCACGAGAGCTCCTCTTCCTCTGCACGCAAGACCTGGCTCCTATCGTAGGCTTAAGAGCTCCTCTTCCTCTGCTAAGGCTCGAGTCTTCCCCTTTCCTTCGCATTGGAGCCGCTTGATGATCACACATTTAGGTACTCCTTCAGTCTCCCATTACCACTCGCTCAAATTCTGAATTTTGCTTTGGTCATTCATTTCCTTCTTTTGATCTTTTTTCATCTTTATGTAAATCATGCGCTGACTCCTTTACTTCAATTTCAATTCCAGCATATGAAACGTATTGTTTTGGGTTACGAACCATTGAACTAGGCATTACAATCTTCCCCACTTACGAAAGTTTTTTTTCTCAAAATTTAAAACCTCTCCAAGTCATATCTCATAAAACAGATAAACATGATTTATTCATAAACTCCACGAAGAAAACGGGTGGTCATTCCTTAAGATGCAAAGGGGTTACCGTAAAACAAAAATTTGGCATAACGCGACTCAACTAAACTCGCCTCATTAACTAAATC